GCTTCGCCTTTACTTACAGCCCCCCGTGCCCTCGCGGTGCCCTCACACACTTCTGCTCTGGCCCGCAGCCATTCTGGACATCCCCGTGTACAAGAGTCGGATCCAGCCTCTGCACGTCCTCTTCTCCCTCTACTCGGAGTTCAAGAACTCGCAGGTACGCGACTCCGGAGAGGCACCGCTCACCCGCCTGGAAGCGTTGCCAAGTTTCTCCTTACGTTTGGCTTTGCTGGGCTGCGGGTGGTTTAAAAGGGCCGGTAGGCCACGATAAAGGGGTCCAAAAACGTTTTCTAAGCTTCGCCGTTTCCCCAGTACCTCCACAGGACACAGGGAGCCTCTGCTGTGCCGCAGGGCTGGGATGCTGCGTTGTTTAACGGCCCAGCATAAGCCCAGAACGCTTTTCCCACCGCCGCCACCGCGCCTGTTCCGCGCGCAGGCAGAGCGGCGTTTGAAACCCCAGCGGCGACGCGAGGCTCTGGCTGCCTGCAGAGCGCGCAGCTCGCACGGAGCAGCAACAGCAGCCTGCGTTTCCAGGCTAATTTTCCTCCTAATTAACGAGTCAAGTCTCTGCTCTGACCCGTTCTCTCTCCTGCAGCATTTCAAGCCCCTGGCTGAGGGGAAGAAGGGTGGGAGCCCACCGTCCAACGCCCCTTCACGAGCAGCAGACACAGAAGTGTTCAGCTTTACTTGAAGCTTCACGTTAAACCCTCATCTCCTGGATCGATGTCCGCCGCCGGACAGCCAGATCCGACCGAAGCAGCCTGGGAAGCAACGCGCCGCGCTCCAGCCGCCTCCCTGGTTTTGTAGATGCTGCTGAATTGCTCTGCGCTCACAGAGTAGGACTTGACTCACTGCGTTTGCGGCAGAAGCTGCCTAAACCCTCTGGTTTTGACTAGTCCTCAAGCAGTTCAGCGTTAAACCAGCTCTTCCCAGTAACAGGCTCCCTGTGCCACAGACGCTGCGGAGCAGAAGCTCCTCGAGCACGTGCTACGGATGCTGTAAGCAAGCGGCCGTAATTCCTGTGCTCGGGCACAACACTCGGATCTGTGTTCCAAGGTCTGATCCAAGGATCTCGAACCTCCTCTGCCCCGTGCTACTGAGCCCCTTTTCTCTTCCCAAGTCCCTTTATCTCTTTGCAAACCCCTTGGCTAGTGCCAAGAAGAAATAACCAGCGTGGCACCAGACAGACGCTTGAGTTTAGTTTATTGCTGTTGGGATGACTCTCTCCAGCCCCTGCCATGCTGCCCACCCGTCTGCCGCAGCTCGGGCAGGGGCGGAGAAGACAGTGGAGCAAGCAGGCTGCTAAAGCAAGGCTGGTGCTCGGCCTTACCCAGGAGGAATCGCGGCACTAGCAGCTTGGTGGAGTCTGGCTGTGAACAGCTTTGATACGTTTTGGTTATAAAAGCCTATTTGTAAAGCGCAGAGATTAAATAAAAACAGGCCGTGGCTAACGGCATGGCTACGGGCACAACCAGTGCGTG